CTCCCTGGTGAGGTTTTTATTTGAGTTTTGATTTGGCACTAAATCTGCACATGCAGCTTCTTTCTTAAAGCGCTGGCTGAAAGTTGCAAGATGTATTTTCTGCTCAAAGAACTTCACAAAATGTTAATCTTTGAAAAATGCAGAAGCCCATTAAAGATAAAGACCATAAACAAGTGTAAAGCACTTCTTAAAGTCTTTGACAAAGGTCGCAGGTGTAGGGAGGTCAAAGTGATATCTTGTTCTTCTAAATATTTCAACAGATAGACAGACTTTTGATTGCATTATCTATTAAAAAATTGCTTTGAACCTTCCGCCAGTGCAGACCACTTGTGCTTTCTCAAACCAACAAAGGTTTGGTCAGCAGATAAGAATTTCTGACCATGGAAGGGCAGCTGCTTTCCTTTCATCTCTCCTCTGGTGTGTACATGAAATGTTTGCTTAGCCTGGCCCTGCTATCATGAGGGCCTTTTTTTTTCTTCTTCTTCTTCTTTTTTTTYCCTTAATCCTCCCTCTAATTTGAATCCTACACCCTGTCTGCAAATAAGACATGAGGAAAATTTAGATTTCAGCAGTGCAGGCTTTATCCGGCTGGATGCTGAGCACTTCAGCTCCAGTTCAGCACAATACTTAGCCTTATCTGACTATGCATATGTTTATCTGTAAGCCTTAACTTAAGCACATGATTAAATGCTCCGATTGATTAGGACTAATGATCCTTACTGAAATACTGAGCCCGGTGAGAGAAGTTTGCTTTACAAGCAATTTTGCTGTTGTTTTTCTTCTATTGTTACTTACTACCAGAGGAGGTAATTAAGGAAGTGTTTGTTTTAAGAGGACCAGAGTAATTTATGTAAAATTTTAATCTGATTCTTGAAAATCCACTTGTGACCAGTTCTGTGCTCTTATTAAATATTTTTCTTCAAAAGCAAACATGATCTGTAGAAACTGTGCTGATGATATCCAGGTATGTCTTTTCCTTCTCAAAATGCTTAATCTATGTGCAATGTTAATGAGAAAAATATTAAGACAAAATGCGTAAAATTGCTTCCTAGAAAGGTTCAATCTATATGTAAATGTAGAGCCGAATACAAGAGAGCTGGCTAACAGTATCCTGAAGGAAAGATGGTATTCACATAGACTGGATCATTATAAATGTATGCTTTCAGATGCTGTCCACTTTAACATTATATGGTTTCTTAATGAAAAAAAAAAAAGTGTTTTGCTTTACTACTTTCTATCTGTCTCTTTTTTTTTTATCAGCTAAGTCTGCTGCAGGAGTGTGATGAATACTGGAACAAAGTTCAAGTTGGAGGTTGCTAATTTTTGTGTGGTTTTGAGGATGAATGGAAGGCAATAACAGGTCAACTAATGATTTATGAGATTTTGACTTCCATAGATGTTTAATAAGAGTCTCCTGCCTGCATGCCCCTTGCTTGAAACAGTGTGGAAATCAAAACTCWAGGCGTGTGTTTAAACAAGGAGAGGGCTGTCTTCCCTGGGAAGGCAAATGTTGCCTTAGCAAACAAGCTTTCCCAGGCAGATGCTGGGCAGGGAGCTGTGAAGTTCCTCTATCTATGCCTTGGAATAAGGCAGCACACTGAGAGGTGCTTTGAGCATCACTTCCTAAATACCCAGCTAAGCAGCATCAGACCAGGAGGCTAATTAAGGGAACTCCTTTTGTTTGGTCTACAGATTCTTCTGGAGAGATGGATTAGTGATGGGCAAGGTGTCTCACTCACCTGCCCAGGCCACTCTAACCACTACAGAAGACCTTTTGGAAACCAGGTAAAGAGAGAGAGGGGAGGCAGATGCATGGAGGACAAGGCAGCAATCCAACACCACAGTTGCCAAGGGCTGAGAGGATCTTTTTACCCTAGCAGGATTCCATTGAGTTCATTTAGCATTAAACTGGAGGTATTTTAAGCTACCAAACTCTGGAAGAGGAGCCATGTGCTTTCATGATACTCAAACTTTGATCCTAAGTTGCTGTAAGGCTCCAGTTCAGCAAAATGCTTAAGTATGTGCTTGATTTTAAATACATGAATACTTATGTGACAGAATGCTCAAGAGCAGCACAAAGTCTGCTTTGCCTCACAACTAAGCCACTATGTAACCTAAGAGTGTGGTATATTATCAGTCTGGTGCACCTATTCCTATACAAACTAGCCTTGGAAATGCATTCACTCAAGTCAGTGGGATTTAAGTACATACTTAATTTAGGAAGAGCAGGGGAAGAGTGCATATACTTGATTTATATGCAGTTTATCTTCTGGTGGCCTAAATAGCTTCTCTCACAACACGATTTAAATTCTTTGGATGTTTAAATATTTCCCTCAAAGACTTAGGGTTTTTTCTGGAAACACTGGGTTGTTTTCTTTAATAATTCCGTTTTGCTTTGCTCTTTTTTAAAAAAAATATTTACGCATTTAATGAATAATTGTGTGATCTTCCTTCCTCGTTTTCTATTGACTGAGGACTTTTTTCTGCATCTTGTCTATGACTACGTGCTTTATGCTACAATGCCTTGTGTACAGAAGTCTATTTGTGGTTATTTTCCAGATTTGTGTAAATAATGAAATTTGAGCTAGTTGTTTCAATGTTCAAATCTTGTATTGTTTCTTGACAAATAGACTAACTTAGAATCTGAAGAGGATGAAGATGCAGAGATGTGCTGGTGATGCACAGGCCTGCAGTTTTTCACAGGCGTAAATTTTAAATAGTCCTGCCTGATCTGGTGCCAGTGGAATCGACAAGAGCTTTRTAATTTACTCCAGGCTATGCAGAATCCTCAACAAATGAAAAATGGAAATTAGGAAAGCCAAATATTTTGGCATTAATTCTCCACAGAGTAACAGTATTTCGGTGGTGCTTGTATTTTTTTTTTTTCCTCTCTGTCCTTCAGTACCATTAAGATATTTTTGTAAGGAGGATAAAGTGGCTTTCATTGCTTATTTTTTTTTTTTTACCAAAGGAGGGTCAATGTTTCTGTTGTAGCCTTGCATGTTGTCAAGCCTATCGCCGATGATGCAGCGCGGCTGCTATTTGACGTGCGAGGGGATCCGGTGGGTTTAGTGTCAAGAGCAACTGTGAGGTCTTGCAGGTCGGATTTCCTGCATTACGCAGGTCACAGCATTTGATGAAGGTCACGGAAGCACCCCATAATAGCTCTATGAAGACAGTAACAACATCCCAGGTTGGGRAAAAATGATCATCAACAGTATTAGCAAACAGCGTGCTTGAGAAAATGCTTTTTTGATTGCTTTATGCACGGATGTAGCAGAAATCCTGCAGTTCTGAAGCTGACAAAACGCCAGGAAATGGATTGGATCTGTTGAGTGTGAGCATGAAAAGAAAGAAAGTTCTCGAGTTATTCCACCCAAAAACCTGATGTGGGATTCTGTCTCTCAAGTATTTGTCATCGTCTTTACCAGCCCTATCCACGTAGTTGCACAGGGTACGTACACACCAGGGTGGGAAGGAGGCAAGTGCTGTAATGCATTAGGCTCGGATGCAATGCAGTGTCCCGTGTTTGAGCTAAGTTTAATTTGTACGGCCAAAACATAACATTTTGTTGTCGCTCTTGCAACATTTCGCTTGCTGAGATGCCTTTTTAATTCTGCTGATCAAAACGCCGGTGAGTATAGGCAGCCCATATTGGTTGTGATTCTCTCTGACGTGTTTCGCACTGTGTCATGTCTAACCTTTTGCCGTGATTAAACATGCATTTACACTGACTAGAGCACTTGACAGTCTTGCATCATACAAAGCATTTTCTTCAGTGCAAATTAGGATTCAGTGCAGGCCTCCGTGGGGGATTTTCCCACTAATGACATATGTAAATAGCACTCATTCATTCTAGTAGTGGGGGAAAGGTACAGAAGCATGCAGATCTCCTAATGAATCTGTGTTATACCTCAGATGAAAGGAAAACAATGTGTTTTTCACATGTTAATTCTGTTATCTGCACATGCTGCGCTCCCCTCAACCCTCTAAGTTGCGATACGTGGACTCAGATTTATACAGCCTTTCTGGCCACAGAGGCATTTTGCTGGAGGTACTCATGCATGTATCCATGCTTCAGGTGATAGCATGGAATCCTTTACATCTGTGGAGACAAGGAAGAAATACAGCCATGTTATTCAGGTGTAAGCACATTAAATTGGCCCTTTCATTGTGTGTATATACATGTGTGCCTAAAACTTTTTCCATGCACTTTCTGTAGCAGTATAACATACAGTTTTAGCTCCCCAGCAGAGCCTGATGGCTTCTGTACCTGCGTTAGGGTTGCACCTTTATGGCAGCAGGCCTACAGGTAATATTGAGTGCTCTTCAGGATGATCACTTCTGTCATCTGCTCAGCCGTGCTTTGAATTTGTTTAGTAATAACTTGCTTGGTTTTAAAAGAGCCACAGTGAGTATATTTGGTCGTTAGCCTTTGTGAATGAGGGGTTTTGTCAACTCTTGGTGGCTTTTAATTTCTGAAGGGCTCATTTAGTTTTCCATTTCTGTGGGGGCTTCAAGGACAAGTGATGGCTGAGCAGGAGTATCTATACTGTTATCCCATGTAGTTCTCATGGTTATATTGCTGTCCTCTCCATAGGACCATCTGCCTACTTTTACTAGCATTTTTGAGCATCTCCTGAGCAAGGAACCTCTGTGGGGCTGGGCTGAGCCCACTGGGGTCCATGGCTAGGGAAGGGGCTGTGGTGAGGATGGAGCTTAGCTCCACTGCAGCATTRTGGGGCAAGGAGTCATGATCCCAACAGCTGATGATCCTGATTGATCTGGCCCCAGGTGAGCCTCATCAGGGCCATTAGGAGCTATTGGTGCCTTCAGGTCACTGACCAAAACCAACATTTCTCACCTGGAAATTGCTAGCCTTGATTACAACTCAGGTGGTTCCAGAGCAAGAGGTGGATGGGTTTAAGAGGATGCTATTCAGCTTCTTCTAGACTTCCTTAGGTCAGTAAAGTGAAGAAGGAGGGTACATTCGCTGAGGGTAGAATTCACCTGCAGCGCTAAGAAGCAAGAAGAGGCTTGATTGTGGGTGGCTTTGCAGTGGTGCTAAGGGAAAGCAGAAGAAAAGACCCTGCTTTCCTCTCCATTCATCTCCAATGCTACTGAAAAAGGTCAGTGTCTCGTTTTGGCAGTAGCACAACCGTGGGGAGGTTGAGGTGAATGTGCTGGGGGAAACGAGGACAGTCTCTGAGCAAGCAGGGCCAAGGATTTGCCGTTCTGCTGAGCTTTGCCTCTGAGCAGGTCCTCACCACTTGCCCACAAAGCATTTGGCTGCTTTATTTTTTGGCCCCTGCCTACCTGGATACTGCTCCTGGCTGTGTTTTGCACAGTGCATTTACAGAGAGCTCCTTATACAAACTATCACCTGTCTGGGTCAACTTGAAATCAGGTCCTCTCCTAGTCAAGGCTTAATGAAGTTTCCTTCAAGGTCACTGGCAAAATTTTGGCTTTGATGGAAGGGGAAAAAACCTCTAATTCTGCTAATTACTCTGTCTGTGGTGGGCAGTGCTGAGACTGCCTTGCTGTGAAAGGAAGAGACTGATTCTGATGTCGATACTGTTTTATTTAGTGCATCTCAGAAGAGTGTGAATTGCCTGTTGTGAGTTTTGGTATTTCCTGCTTCTGCACTGATGAAAAACAATGAATTTGATTCTTAAAGCAGCAGTTTAGCGCTATTTAAGCTCTATTTGCAGAATAGTTATGTGAGGTTTTTTTTTTTTTTTTTTTTTGCTTTTGGTAATGTTTCTTCATTTTTGTTTTGGGTTAAACTTGATGCAGACATCAACTGTAAATGGGTCAGGCAGTCGTTAAAGTGAGCAGTTGGCCACATTTGTGCTAACTCTAGTCCTTTTGTTTTTTGCCAGAGGAAAAAGAATTCTAATTTCTATCAGTCTAAATTGTGCTGGGCAGCATTATCAGCTGGAAAGACCCCTCTGATTTGACAGGCCCCACTGTATGATGATTAATTACTACTCAGCTTCATTGGACTTTTCTAATTTCCTTTTGCCACTAGCTGTAGGCAACAAGCGATAAGTACTGCTCTTATTATTTTGTGCAAAGGAAAATGTCTATTACTGCTCTGTCCTACAAGTAATCAGAATAAAAAGACAGCTGATCAGGAAACCTGTGTGGTTCATTCTGTCTTTATTTATCCTACCCTTGCTTTATTTCTGTGCAGTTTCTACTCAGAAGTTGTTTTACACAGTTGCCTGTCAAAATAAGAAGATAAAATCATAAGCTCTATCAAAGTAGTTGACATTTTGAAATTTGTATAATGATTTCATGGGAATTAATCCTCAATCTCCAAATAAATCCTCCTCAAAATGCTAATATAACTAGAAATCTTACACTGCAGAATGTAAAACAATTCTTAATCTTCCTTTTCTATTTTACCATAAATTTATTATATTAGAAGCCTGCCTTGTTGAGAAAAAAAAAATATGGCATTATCACCAAATGCGAGAAAAGTACTTTACATAACACTTGCATTATAACAATTTTTTTCTAAGGCACCCAATGCTCTATAGTGCCCTAAGAGGAAGGTGAATTGCTGAGAACCTCTCAAGGACTACAATGTTGATTTAAAAAAAAAAAATTCGTGAAGACACAATTCTCTCCTTTTTTTTTTTTATCTCAGCTTTTTCATGAAACTTCTCAAATGATTATGCAATTTCTGGTGAATGCATTCTAGAAAGAAAAATCTGGAAAAATTGGGTTTCTTCTGTATATTTCAGAGATATTACAGAATTTAAGGTTTAAGATTTAATATTAAATGCATTAACAGTATAACGTGTGTACCTAGGGCATGGGAATTCTGTGCCATGGTAGAGGCTGCTGTAGATGCAGYGCTGTGGTGTGGTGATTGGCCTCATCACCCAAAATATGAATCTTCTCCTCTGGATTTAGTACATGCTCCTGTGTCTTGAGTATAGAAGTCATTTGAGTCGCATGGGAGAGAACATCAGGACATCGTGATCCGTTTCAACATGTTGGGTGTTTAGGAGTAAAAGGAGCTTCTGATTCTAATAATCTGCTTTGGGAAAGAGACTTCTCTTAACATCTCAGAGGCTTCTGAATGTTCCGCTGCTTTTTCTGTCTGCAGCCTTGCTGTGAAAGGGTAGAGTATTGATACATGCTGAAAGATATTTAAAAGTTCTTCCAGGAGACTAAGCTTATTGTTTTTCCGTGTGATTTGTTGTTCTGACCTATTCAGAACTGTTTCTTCTGGTTAGGTCCTTCCTGTTCTTTTTGCATAGAGTTACAACTTGAAATTTTTTTGTGATAGTATGCATTTTCTCCAGCAACAGACATAACACGAGTATCAAAGGAGGCAGGGGATGTATGAGATGCTCCAAATGTCTTTTAAGGTATGGAAGCATACCTTAAGGTATGGTTCCAGGTATGGAAGATGACAAAGCAAAACAAAATTTCTTCTTTTAAGAAAAATGCAGAAATTAATTAGCTTGAGGAACGAGGTAATGGGGAAGTTCTTGTCTTGCAGAACTTGCTCCATCAGGAGAACAGAGGGCTCCTCAGCCCATCCTTTGTGAAGATGTGAATTCCAGCCTTCTGCAGCCCTTGTGCAGGGCTGTTAGCAAGCGAGAGGAGGAGAGTGGCTTGCTTGCCACTTTCACATCTGCTGCTGAGCCCAGCAGCGTGATTAGTATCTGCATTCCTCTCCATGAGTAAACAGAGAAACAAATGGCTCACAGATCTGCTCCCTCTTCAAAGCCCACCATCTCCTCTCGCTTTGGCCTCTGCAGTGTACAATTCAATGACTGGTAAAGAGACCAAGGTGACGCTCTTTGCTGCTGCTTTCCATGGTCACRCCAGGACAGGAAAGTTAACTTGACTCGTAAGGAGCTGAGGAGCTCTCATGGAAAAGCTAGGAAATTATTTCAAGGTGGCTGAGGCCAATGATGTGCCAATGTGAGGCTTTCTGTTTTGCAGAATCCAAATACTATGTTGTTGTGTATGAGTACTTGGGATATTGTTATTAGAGTAGTGTAGTTAAGACATCCATACTACAGTGAAAAATACCTGTTGAAAGCATCTCTCTTAGTTATACTCTTATGGTAGAAGAATAAAAGTTAGTAAGTACCTCAACAGATATTGYGAAGTGCTCTTTAGTGATTGGTGTTTCCAGTGGAAATACCGTTTGTTGTGCTAAGTTCCAGTAAGAAGTATGATGATATACTAGTGGAGCAACTGTAAGGATAGTATCCTGTTCAATCTCTATAGTTTGAACAGAATAACCTGTTTAGTGTCTATTCATTAATTGTAAACAGTAATAATTACTTTACAGAGATCTGGATAATGAGGGACATAATGTGTTAGAGATGTAGCTTATCTTGGGGTCACCAACAAGCAGTAAGCAAGTTTCTTTAGCAGATATGCAATACTCATATATCTTTGTCCACCTGTGTTCAAGAATGAGTCACAGTTGTCTTGYTTTCCATATATTTTATATCCAGCCACTTTCCAAGTGAATTCCTGAGAGCTGTCAAAGATCACCAATGCACATGGGGTCAAGGAGACTGTCAGCATTTCTGCCTTCTSTTGACCAAAGGGCCAAGAGCATTGAGCATTAACGCTTCTGAAGAGACATGGGAAGAAAGCAGGCAGCTACCCATTGCATGTAGCACAGGTCTGTAGATGCACAAGAGGAGATGTGCTACTTTAATAGTTCGGGGGAGCCTAGGGAGGTTAGGGAGCATGAGGAGTTGAGGTTCACCCACTGAAATGCTCAGCAGCACCATAACATAGAGCTGCAAGTGAAACTCGTAGTGCAAAGGGTGTACTGAGCTCGAGGTCAGAGAGCAGAGCAGGCTCCAGAACTGAGGACGAGAAGGTAGAACCTAGTCTTGGTGTTAACTTGATGTTAACTTGCTAGCTGCTGTGAAGTCTGAACAATATTTACAAGGCTATTTGAATATTTATTCCTTGGCTGGGCATAAAAATAGGCTGCCTTTTCCTTCTAGAATGCAGCTTCTGCTTCTCCACAGGCTTTTGTCATAAGCCTTGTTTTTCCACATTACATGTAATGTTTTCATGTAACTATAAAATAGTGTATATTAGTGAATTTGCATTCATCAATGCATGATGATGAAAGGCATCCTCAAACTAACTSTTCTTTAGGGAAAGAAAATAAAAAGACAGCCTCTGGATTGGCTTTGGAGAGAAAGGAATTCACAATACTATTTTTTTTTTTTGAGTGAATGCTTTGAATTTTTGGTAACATTCATAGAGTAATTCACTAAAAACAATACAATATTTTTGTCACAGATAGGCCAGGTAATTATGGTGTAGAGTTTATTCATTTAATTAGGACTAATTTAGAAAGTAAAATATGTAATGGTGCAACTGCTTTGTTCTTTTTCTAATAAAAGGTAGAAGCTTTTGAGTGTTATTAGACTGAGATAAGCTAGGCTTCTGTATAGCATGATTTTGTATGTCTGAACTAGCCAAAGCCTTTGAAGTCCTATGAATCTTTCTGCTTGTTAATTCTTCCATTTGTTTGATTTTTGGTACAAAGAAAATGAAAGAATATGATGAGATTATGGCATTTTAAGTCAATATTTATTAAAAAATCAATCTCGATGAAAATCTGCCCATCCCTCTAATTAGATGAGGCAACTTGAGGTTGATTTTTAATTGCAAAAGTAATTACACCGAGCAGATAGCCAGTGACATTTGATTATCTAGGTGATTGATTAAAAAGCCTAGCTCACGGAGCAGATTGTCAGCCAGGGGAATCGAGACAAAAGAGCAAATTAAAAAAGTTGTCCTGTTAGTAATCACAAAATTCAAGGATGAAATTACAAAGCCAAACACCTCCAATCCACCTCAACTTCATCACTCAAATGTGCGCAGCGTGTCTGAGCTCAAAGAGGGTGATAAAGAAATGGATTGCTTCTAAAGGAAGGAGTATTTGGGGAACGTAAAATGAAAGGGCAAAAGCTCTGCGGAGAATAGGGACTTCAATCACACAAGCTAAGAAACAAAAATTTCTCTTAATTGTGAAAGAGTTCATTTTCCCTATGCTCCCATGAAAGCTCATTAAACCCAAGCAAGGTTAGTCAAATTAAATGACATGTGTTGGATAACAGAA